TTGAGCTTCTGCTCTCTTCCTCTTGCATAAGGACTCTCTAGGAATGTAAGTCCTCTGCTCTCTCTCCCTCTTGGAGGAGGACTCTCTAGGAATCTAAGTCCTCTGCTCTCTCCCTCTTGGAGGAGAACTCTCTAGGAATCTAAGCTGTCTGCTCTCTCTCCCTCTTGGAAGAGAACTCTCTAGGAATCTAAGTTATCTGCTCTCTCTTCATCTTGGAGGAGTACTCTCTAGGAATCTAAGTTATCTACTCTCTCTCCCTCTTGGAAGAGAACTCTCTAGGAATCTAAGTCTTCTGCTCTCTTTCCATCTTGGAGTAGAACTCTCTAGGAATCTAAGTTATCTACTCTCTCTCCCTGTTGAAGGAGAACTCTCTAGGAATCTGTTATCTGCTCTCTCTCCCTCTTTCAGGAGGACACTCTAGGAACCTGGCCCTTTCGCTCCCTTGGACCCTGGTTGGCCGAGAAGAAGAAGAGGAGGAGATGGAGGTATGCTGAAGGGAGGTGAGTATTTGTGGAGGGATGCCCTGAGTGTTAGATGAGACCCCCCCCCAAAAAAACCCCATGCATTGTGTCTGTGGGTTGTGTGTGTGTGTCCCAGTTCCCTCCCTCTCCCCCCCAGGCTCTCCTTCCGCCACCAAATGTACAGAAGGAGGCCCTGGCATTGGCTGAGGGGGCGTCTGCGCCGTAGAAATAAGACAGTTTGACACCAGTTTTAACAATAATAATAATAATAATAATAATAATAATAATAATAATAATAATAATAATTTTTATTTATATCCCGCCCCTCTGCCAGGCAATCTCCAGGGGTAGCTGTGTTGGCCATTTAGCAAATTTCAACAAAAAGCCATCAGTGATACCTTTATTGGCCAACCCAAATGCACAATATTCTGGTTGCAAGCTTTCGAAGCTCCGTGGGCTTCTTCTTCTTCATCAGGCAAGATGTTTGAACTCTAGGGAAAAGAGGTAAACAACCATTCTTCTTCAACTTTGTTACTGGCTTTTGAATTAATTCAGGCTGTCAATCTATCCATTTCTCTTGTTTTGTTTAATTTTTGAAGCCGATCATCTATGTCTAGTGATTGCCCTGATTTCCAATTTTTTGCAATAATTTTCTCATCTTTTTAAAAAATATTGATGTCATGTTCAATAAACAAAGTTCTGTTTTTTGAGGGAGAATTGTATACTAAAAACCTTTTGAGTTATTTCATGAACTTCTCCCCAGAACTCTCTTATCTTATTGCACCCCCGCCACATATGAAACACGGTTCCATCTTCCTTATGGTACCTCCAACATTCCTCTTTTTCAGTCTTATATATCGTCTTTATTCTTACTGGGGTGTAGTACCATTTATTAGTTATTTTCAAAAAGTTCTCTTTTAGATCCTGCAATCTAGGAAATTTGTTTGTTTGCGACCATGCCTTCTCCCATGCTTCTGATGAAATTGAGTGTCCCAGGTTCCTAGCCCATCTCACCATATAGTCTTTGTTTCCTGCTCCATCTCTCTATTTAGTACCTTTATTGGCCAACCCAAATGCACAATATACTTGTTGCGAGGATTCAGAGCTCCATGGGCTTCTTCGTCAGGCAAGATGTTACAAATCAAATATCTTGCCTGATGAAGAAGAAGCCCATGGAGCTTCGAATGATTGCAATAAGTAGATTGTGCATTTGGGTTGGCCAATAAAGGTATCACTGATGGGTTTTTGTTTGAATTTGCTAAATAGCCATCCCTGAATATTTTCTCTAAAAGTATTTTATATCGTTTTGAGTTTTTTAAAAAAAATATATAGTTTCCATAATATTTCTTCTGGTTCATTTTGCTTATTGTCTATACCAGGGACCTTTCCCCTTTAAGGGCCGAGGGACTTCAGCTCCCAGAAGCCTCAGCCATGTTGGCCAATAGCTCCTGGGATTCTGGGAGCTGAAGTCCCTGGGCCCTTAAAGGGGAAAGGTTGCCTACCCCTGGTCTATACCTTCTTTTTTCATGTCTTCTATGAATTTCTCTTTTAGTTGTAAATAATTGAACCAATATCTGTTCTTGTGTTCTTTCAAAAGCTCTTCTTTAGTTTTAATTTCTATATTTCCAAATTTGTCTATCTTTACCAAGTCTTTATAATTTACCCATTTTTGTTCATGTTCCCATCTACTGAAAAAAGCCTCCTGTACTGAGATTAATTGAAGCTTTACTGTACCATATGTATGCGTGCCAGCCAAGTCACAAGTTGGCACCTTCGATGTTCAAGATTCATTTATTTTTTAATTTAATTAAATCTTGGATCCACATTAAGCTACATGCCCATGCATATAATTTGAAATCAGGTAATGCACAGCCACCTTTTCAACATCTTTATCAATGACTTGGATGAAAGAATAGGGGGCATACTTATCAAATTTGCAGATGACACCAAATTAGGAGTAGCTAATAGCCCAGAGGATAAGATCAAAATTCAAAATGACCTCAGTAGATTAGAAACGTGGGCCAAAGCTAACAAAATGAAATTCAACACCAAGAAATGTAAGGTACTGCACTTAGGGCAGAAAAATGAAATGCATATATAAAGGATGGGGGGACACCTGGCTGAATGAGACTACGTGTGAAAGGGATCTAG